TATGTATAAACACAACACATAAAACCATACAATGATCATGTATGTTATGTGCCACAAAGTTTTCCATGTGTAGATTCTGCACCTCCTCTTGTGCATCTTCCATCTATAACAAAGAATCAATTTACAATCCATGAATTCACACAATATAGCAAAAACACTAAACAAATTTAGAATGTCTCAACCAAATTTGGATACAAATTTCTTACCAAATACAAACTTAATTATTCAAAGTTAAAACACTTTCTCCAACTCGAAATTGCGATAAATTTCGTCACGAAGTAACCAGCTGCACTCACTCGGATTTGCCATAAACACTTTTTCTTTAATATCTTGAATAAGAATCTCATGTGATAATCGAGTAAAGGGTATTACCACATTTATGATAATTTTCAAACATCAAATCTTGGAGAACACCTCCAAACCTTATCAATGTCATTAAGAAGAATGACATTGTTAACTGGTTTTACTATGCGTTTATTGTGATAATATTGGAGCTGACATCACAATTTTTTTAAGGATAAGAATTGATCTCATAGACGTATTTCAAATTTTTTTTTTTAAACAATGAACACAAACATGATAAATGTCTTTTAATTCAACTAAAATATTGCAACACTACAGCATAAATTATGAGATTAACAAGATCCAAGACAATAATGAACAATACACAAATAATAAATTACTTTCAAAATATTGTAAATCCCAAAAAAAAAAATTACTTACTAGTTGGTACATGTTTTGTACAACTCATTTACAAAACAAAACAAATCAAAGGCTTACAAGCAAATCTCTTTTAAATAAAATAAAACATTTCTGAGGCTTCTAAGAATACCACACCAGCCAAAATGCTTTTCTTTACGATGTTTCCTTAGTCGTATGATTCTAGGTTTCATGTAAATTCTTGTGAGGTTTCCTTAATGGTATACTGGTTCTTAATGGTGTAACTAGATTTTGGGTTTTATTTAATCACATGCTTGTGAGGTTTTCTTAATTAGATTATGTTTCATATAATCGCATTCTTGTGAGGTTTCTTTAATTTTTTTGTTTCATATAATCACATTCATGTGAGGTTTCCTTCACTAGATTCATATAATTGCATTATTGTGAAGTTTACTAAACTAGATTGCGTTTCATATAATTGCACTCATGTGCAGTTTTCTGAATTGTTTCATAATATTGCGATCAACTGGTCAGTGGTCAACTTAGCCATAGCTTCGTCATTTGGAGCCAAGACAATCAAAACATAGCCTTCCGACACAAGCCGACCCATCTCGGTGGCTAAAGAAGTGAGATCGACGAGAATGTCTGCCATTTTGTTGTAGCCACCGTAATGGAGCAGAGTGTGGATAAAGTCTTTGACTTGAGCTTCTCCGTTGAAATGGTTGCATGGAATCGAATACGCGGAAGCGGAAACGGAAGCGTGGAAGCGAGTTTTTTTAAAACAATAGGAAATGAATACGTGTTGGAAAC